TTGGCACCTATTGGTTGTCTTTTCTCATTCAAGTTGTGATTGTTCTGGTTCTTGGTTTGCTGATTGATTTTCCATTGTATACTGGATATTTTGGGTGTTTTGTTGTGAGACTGGGTCTTATTATACCTCCTTTTGTAGCAGGCACAGCATGTTCAGGTGTGGCATGCAGGTCAGATGGAGTGAACATTCAGCTGTCTTTTGGGCCCTGCTGATGCCACCCTGGTGAGAGCAGAGTACCAATGCCCACTGCCTTGTCACCACTGAGTGAGGACAGAAGTTCACCCTGTGACACAAGAGGTGGAGCATGCAATGCCAACTAGTAATTATTTTTTCACCCTGCCTCTTTCTGCCTTGCTGCTGCCAGGTTGGGGTGGAAGCTCAGGTCCCTCCCAGAGCCAATGTATGTGTTACTTTGAATTTCTTACAGATTACAAAGAACCAATCAGAAATCTTGCAAAGAGAAATATTCTTTGAAAACATTCAGTAGATGGAACAAGTGGCAAAAATGGATTCCACTTTAGAGCAAATTAGTAAGCCAAAGGATTCTTAAGAGTTCAAGTCCTACCCCTCAGCCCTGTAGTACGATTTAGAACCCTCTTCACCCCATTATAGTTAATCTGCTATAGTTAATCATTCTTTACATTAATGTTTTCTGATCAGATTAATGTGTGATGACTTTCTCGTGATTGGACCCTGAGTGATACACTCGTAATTCTTTTTTTTTCTCTTGTTTTTCACTCAGGTTTTTGCTTTTATTATTATTTTTAATTGACACATAATAAGCGTCCATATTTATGGGTACTGTGTGATATTTCCATACATGTATATGATGCTAAATAATCAAATCAGGGTAATTAGCATATCCATCACTTCAAACATTTGTTGTTTCTTTGCATTGGGAACATTCAAAATTCTCACTTCCAGCTACCTGTAATTATAGGCATACTGCATTGTTATACAACACTGGAACTTATTCTGCCTATCTAGCTGTAATTTTGTATATGCTGACCAACCTCTTTCTATTTGCCCTTTCCCCCTACCTCCCAGACCTAGCTAGGAACCACTATTCTTCTTTCTTCTTCAATGAGATCAAGTTTTTTAGTTTCCACATATGGGTGAGGACATGTGGTATTTCTCCTTCTGTGCTGGCTTATTTCACTTAACATAGTATCTTCTAAAGTATTCATCGTGCTGCAAATGACAGGATTTCATCCTTTTTTATGGCACTAATAATTCTTAATTAATCCTTGACCTTTCTTCCCACTCAGTAATGAAAATACCTCTAGAATTTCAGTGGCTTGACCAATAAATGTTTATTTTGAATTCACCAAGGGTCCAGTCAGTGTTCTTTAGGCAGCCTTGCTGTCTTCTGAGCTGGCATTCAGGAACCCAGGCTCCTTTTATCCTACATCTCCACTGCCCTCTAGGGCATCCCCAGAAGTCACAGGGATCATCTGGACCAGCCTCTTGATGAACACAGAGAGAGAGAGATTGAGGAAGGGAGAGAGAATGGTGGATTGTATGAGTGTCTTTGTGCCTAGGTGTGGAAGTGGTATGTACATCTTTTTTGCCAAAGTTCCAAATTCCAATGGGCAGAACCGGGTCATGGCCCCCAGACAAAGGAGCCTGGTAAACAGTCTTCCGAAAGAGAAAATGGAGAGTTGAGCAACTAGCTAGTCTCAACTACCATCTCTCCTGCCCTTCTTTCCAATGTATTTGCATTCATTTTAGACATATCAGTCAATTATGTTTATATTTTTATAACTATGTAAATATTTGTCTTTTCATAGTCAAGACCAATACTATGGTTTAGTTTATTTGTGCAGGAATTTGTTTTCCCTATTGTCTCTCACGTTTTTCATCAACAAGTATTTTTGAGCACATGTGATGTGTGGGTGGTGCTCTAGATTCTAGGAATACAGCAGTGACTGAAAAAAACATTTTCAAAATTTCTGTTTTGCTGTTTGTCAGCTCTAGTGGATGACTTAGAAACAACTAGCAAAATAGATATTCACAAAAATTTCAGATAGTGAAATGTTCTATGAAAAAAAAATGA